TAGATATTTATCGATAACATTTATAGATATTTATCGATAACATTTATTTAGATATATTTGTCGATAACATTTATAGATATTTACCGAATTCTCTTAATTTTCGATGGTAAAATACCATTTTTCTTCAAAAGGCTTCAATTTGCATCCGCTGCTTTTGATTTTGTAATAATTTGGTTGGTTTATCTACGCCATGCGCCTACCAACATTTGAATTTTCATGAGATCATTCTCACTCTAGATGCTCTATCTTCGATCTGAGATTTTAATTTTATCTATACTACAAGTCCAGCCCGCGAGGCCGTGTTTATGTTTATAAATATAGATATGAATACGGATAAGAATAGGAATATATTATAAATCGGAAGATATGAGCACGAAGATGGGTACGAGTTGGACAGCAGTTTTGTGTGTAATTTTTTTGTTAAAATTGCTACATTTTTGAGTAGTGCTAAGGTAATTTAGTTAAATTCGACATATTTGTTCGTTGTTTCAATGCAATCTGTTGTTTCTGTTGCAATCATACATTTTTTTTGTAATATTACTTTGTGCAATTTAGAAAACCACCATTATCGTTACGACCACACTTCAAAAAGGCAAACTTACCGCTTCTCGTTACTTTTTTTTACTACACTTTCTACAAATTCACTTACTGATTGATTAATCCCTTTTGTCTCAAATACACCGTTGTTATTTTTTCACTGTGAATTCACCTACTCTTTAACCGTTAACCAGTTTTGTCAGTGTATTCACCAATTACGTACGTTGTTCAAAATTGACGAAACACCTAAATTAGGCACTTCGAGTAGTAAGAGTTTCTACACATAATCAAAAAGAGTCTTCAATTTGCAAAGTATTTTAGTTATATCCAGCAGATTCCTTTTTACTGCAAAACACCTTATTTTTGTGCGTTTCAATGGGGCCGTCTTTTTTCTACACACACATTTATATGTATGTATTAAAAAAGTGTCTTACTAAAAGATACGTATATTTTTGTCTAGCCTCGTTATATGTTTTGATGGACCTTTGTTATCGTCTGGCATATCCAATAAAAATTACTTTCTTGTATTTGTACTTTTGTGCGTTCCATTGTATTGTATTTGTACGGCGATTAAATAAAGCCAAACACACAAATTTTTAAAATAAATTCAATAAGTAAATGAATAAGTTTTTTTTTTCTTAATTAATTTATACACTGGCTCTGATATACTCTACTAAATTTACATACACATTAACTATTGCTAAAACATATAAACATTAACAAATTTCTATATATTTTCTCATTTCTTCCTCCACGAACAGGTTGTGAGTTCCACAAATGGCGAACTGAATGCGGACGATCCCACAGCTGGTCACTCAAATACTCCTATAACGCAACAGCCCGAAGTGGAGCTTGTCGATGAAACAAAGTAAGTTGAATTTGTTTTTTGAATTTTTGATTTTGTATTTTACATATTACTACGTATTCTTACTACATACATATGTATACATATATATCTACTACTTTTATTTACCTTGGTTGTTATTACTATATAATCTATTTTGATTTCAGTTCATTCCTGTGTTGTCTTTGCAGATGTTGTTGTTTCTTTAAACGAAAGAAGAAGAAATCATCACGTCAAAAATGACTAGACGGTGTCCAATGTAGTCCAGAACGCGAAGCGGTAACACTGCTGCGCGCCACTTCACATTCAAATTCACGGGATAGCGTATTGAATAATCCTAGTCAGGATTATATACAGCAGGCAACGTCACAGCATACGTTGCGGTATCCTCCATCCGCGTCGATGTTGACGCCAACACCAACTACAAACACACCGACACTTCCGTTGTAATTTATAAATACATACATGCATACATACATACATACTGCATACCGCATACATACATACACATTTACCATTTATTAAATTGAAATAAATGAATAAACAAAAAACAATAGAAAACAAACGTATAAAAAAAAACATTTAAAAATCCGCAGAAAAAAAAACAAAAAAAAAAACAAAGCAAAAGCATTGTGAAAAAATGGATGTAAAATCCATACAAAAAAAAATGTAATTTACATTTACACGCCCACTCAATTGTCATTTAAATTATATTAACTAAATTGCAAAAATTGTAAAACATCAAAAGTGAAACAAACACAAAAGTACTAAGAATTATAAAAAGCGTTTGTTATAAGACCAGACACACATGCATACACACACACACGCATGCGCGCACACCACATCTCGTAGGAAGTATGTGCCTAGTTGAGCCGATGTGGTTCGCTTAAGCGAAAATGAAAAGCGGTTGTAAGGCGAGAGGAAGCTTTACGTATATTTGACGCGGTGAATACTTTAGAAAGTGCGTAGGTGTCCAAACTGATAGTGCAAAAGCTTGAAAAGCTGCCAAAATGTTTGAAAAGCAAGGGAGAAGAATTCGAATCTGTTAAAGACTTTTTGAAGATGTCGCATGTATTGTGTAACGATCGAAATTTCATTTGCACTGAAGGTCCTAACTCTAAAAAGAGACTGCTAAATGAACATACAGTTGTAGGGATGCCTGTAGCGTTTGACAAGTACAGCATAAAACTGTTTTTTTAGAGAGCTGGATGTATGGATCAATAGATTTGTGAAGTGACAAACATATTTTGTGATGTATTGTGGAACGATTTTCCGTCATCCCTTGTCAAATTTGGTTTGGAGACAAACCTACCCTGTCGGAAACTCAAACAACCAAAAAGAACATATTTTGCGCTGCTCAATGCGCCTCTTCGAAAGGCGTTAAATGTCTAGAGTGTGTCTAGAAGATGCTATAGAAAATGAAATTTATCGTGAAATTTCCAATTTTCAAGACCAAATCGCTCAAAAACGTAATTATTTTCTGAAACTACTAGAACTTTATAATGTACAAGACTCTCTAGTCGGTAAAAAAAGATGTTTTGTTATGAAAATTCGGTTTTAAAGTGAGGTGAGGCTAGTAATATTAAAAAAACGAAATAAGCTGACCATCTGACACAAATAGACTTTTAACGCTAAACGTGATTAGGCCAAGTAGATGCGAGTAGTCTCGCTGGGACATGGTAATGGGGCCGTAAAGTAATTACATCTGTGCTGCATTGCTTTTGAGAAAAAAATAGAATTGTTTGTTCGAAAAATGTATCGACTTCTTGAAGCTTTCACAATTATAATTCGAATTTATGTTTTTTAAGGGTAATCTATCAGGCGTTTAATGAAGACATTTACGATGAATATCATAATTTTGTGGTTGTTTTTACATATTGAATCATTGCCTTTGCATATTTTCGAACTGTTGTTGAAGAGACAACAATTTTTTGACTGAAAAGAAGTCCGATTCGTTCGCTCGTTTGCCTCCTAATAATGTGTCGAAGAAAAAGGCAAAATTTATTCAATTGCAAGAGAGTCTCAATCGCAGAAATTAATGAATTGCGCGCTTAAAAAGTTCGCAACTTATTATTAAAACATTCCATGTACACTTCTTGGCTGCTGGAGTGACAGCCCTTGGCTTGACATAAATCTGTGTCGTTCCGGTGCTGTTGGAATGGCTTGATGCAAATGGTCACTCATGGTCATACGGAATTGCATTAAATTTTTCCCCAAGTAGGAGACGTGCGCTTCTTATTTATCAATATATAAAGATCGTTTCGACATTACATGACAGCTTCTTAGGGAGAAACTAGTTCAGTCGTCGTTGCCACCATTTAGCTCTTAAATTAGAATGGCTTCCTCTCGGTGCAACCGCTTCTCATGCGTGCAGCAAAGTGTAGACCGCTAAGAAACGAATCGTGTGTTAAACGCTTTTCATAACATTTCCAGCACTACCACCACAACCACACACACACTGCTCCCTTCTTACCCACGACCACCACTTATTCCATCGCCAGCTAAACCCATTCTACGCCAAAGCATCGCCTCATTACGACATTTAACAGCACCATTTTCCTCTACTAACTTCCTACCTGCACACACGCACACCACACCAACGCCCACCCTAGTAAACCAACAATCAAACTGAGTATGCAACAATTAGCTATTATGTATGATTATGTTTGAACGCTGAAGAAACTGCAAGAAAAGAAAACGAAGAAGAGAAAAATGTGTGAAACGTCAGTATAAGTAGTTTGACGCGCATGCGCGCAGTAGTAAAGCAAAGCGGTTTTCGTTGTTGCGCTGCTAAAACTATTCAGTTGCAGATTTTTCCTTTATCTTTTATTTTTATTTTTATTTTTTTTTTCATTTGTTTAAGTCAAATCAAAAGTTTCTTACCTAAATACTATTATTATTAATTAATTAATTAATGTTTATAATTATAATATTAATTTATAATATTATGATTGATTATGATGATTATTTTTTATTTTAAATAATATTTACGTAATTGTGTTAATTTATAATTGTATAATTTAAATTATATCACAATGAAAGAAGTAAAGCGAAAAACAAAAGAATAATAAAAAAAATATACACAAATCTTATACATACACAAACATATACATTAAAAGAGAAAGAGAAAAAATTTGAGAAAAATTAATAACCCGTGTCTCATTTCTTTCGCGGAAAAACTTATGTACATGCATACCTTGCTGCAGCCGGATTACGAAACTAGTTGATGCGCTGAGATGGGCTGATATATATGTAGGTGCGCCTAAAAAGTGATAATTTTTAAAAACTTGTTTCATTACTTTACAGTAAGGTGGCTAAAAATATGCAATATAGAACAAGAAAAAAAGCTTTTATATAATATTAAATTAAAAATGAAAAACGACTTGTCTCTTCTCGCATTTATCTTTATGTCACCTAACTCTTTTTGTTTCCTTGTCTCTCCTTTTTTGTTGCAGTAATTGATTAAAGCGCTCAGCAGAGATATTTGTATTGCTCAGCAGCGGCAATTTTTATCAGTTGTGGGATTCTGAAAATTGCTACGCTAATTCTTCACTTCTACAATTTTTTAGGTGAAAAGCGATGGTGCCTGAAAATATGCAATACGAAGAAGTAGGAGATGCAATAGCTAAGCGGCGAATTCTGGTAGTATAAGAGACCAGTAATTTGATGTTGCATGCTGTTAGGCGCCACTGCTTTCTGGCTAGAGGTTTTTGAGGATGAAAATTTGGCATAGCGATTTTCAGTATCCCAATGCAAATTTCTCTCAATGGTTCACGTTGCCTAATTTTAGGCACTCTCATTTAGAGTATTCTGAAGATGAAAATTTTGGGTAATCATTTACAGAATCCTACTGGTGTAGGTTCCTTATAAGTGGCTTTATTTTAGAAGGTGTCACTATTAAGTATAAGTACTGCACAGCAACCATTAACTAGTGTAAGAATACGGCTGCTAAGCGCATTCATCAGATTGTTTAGCTGCTGAAAAGATGAGGCAAGCGTTATGCTTCGGTTAACTAGTTGACTTTTGATAATTATTTGGAAAATAATTTTTGTTTTCAAGTAAATATTTTTACTGCTATATTAAATTTAAATTTTGTTTTGCGTTTTCAAACTACATTAAGGCTGTGCGATTTAGCGTAAAAACAAAGATAAAAAAATGCTGCTAAACTAGCTTTCGATTGCTGCTTGGTGGACAATTTGTAGTATTTTTTTTTATATAAAACTCTTATAATAGAAATTTGGGCTAAAAGTAGAAAAGCAAAAAATAACAAAAAATTCTTTTTTTCAGGATATAATCGAAAAAAAAATTTTATGTTCACTTCGCTAAATTGTATCACTAAGAAACCGATTTGGAAAGTTACAACACCTAAATATATGTATATTCTTTTATAACTTTCTCGTTTTTTTTATTTTGTTTAAAATTTATACCACGATTTATCAAACTATGTTCTATGAAGCATTCAGACTTAAATATTAGGGATATTTTATTTCAACTTGTTGCAATTTTTTAAACATAAACTATAAGAGCCTAATATCAAACTGTTTTTTTTATTAATTTTTTTGTAATATCATTATGGCTGCTAATTAAATAAGTTGTGAACATAAATTTGTATATACATAAATTATATTAATAAATCAGCGAAAATATTGAATTGACTTTTTCCCCAAATTGCAAGTTTTTATAAATTTTTTTTCTAAGTTTATTGAATTGGCATTCCTTAATATTTTTAATAATAAAAACAAATAAAATGTTTTATGAGTAGCCCCGAGGTAGCAAAATTTGCAGAGGTAACGCCTAAAAGTATGCCGCAAAAACTTAATAAAAAAATACCTATACGGTTTCCGATTAGAGAAGAATGTTGCGACGACCATGATGATGTTATGTAAATACTTCTACAAAAATTATTAAAAACTGGGGCCTCTAGTCAAAATTGTTTGTAAATGTCTTGGAGCGTTGACATCGCTGGGCCTCTCAATGTCATTCTTTAGACATAGGAATATATGTAGAAGGGAACGAGACAGCTTATGAGATGGCCAGATTTGGTTTTGAAGTGCTTATAAACGAGACACAAGTATACAATCGCAGAGATGTATGCAACATAGGCGCTACAAATGACTGCAAGATCTCTAGACCAACATGGTTGCGAGTAAATAGGAGGACCGGACACATTGAATCTTAAATGAAGTGGAATCAAAGTACCACTTTCTGTAGCGATATCAGAGGAGACCTGCAGTCGAAGCGAATCAAATAACGGACCTGCACATTTTTAGCGTTTAAAATATATTTGTTGCTGCATATTTTTAGGCGAAGCATTTATGACAGTAGTCATTTGGGCAAATTTTGTCATCTCATGGGAATAATGGAGCTGTTTATATTTATACCAAGCATTTTAATACAAAATAAGTCTTGTCTGTTGTTAAAGTATCTGCTTACTTTATCCTCATTTTATTGAAAATCAAGCAGTGCTTTTGCGAAAAAGATTGTGAAATGTTGCAT